GAATTTATATCAAATCCAAGGTTGTCACTTGAAACAGCTTCACCTCAGAGAAAAAGGATTAGAGGAACTATCTGAGCCGCTCTTGTTGACAAGAGTAACTCACTGCTTTCATCTACGCTGAATTCTATGAACTCGATGAATAATCAGACTTTTTAAATTAGTTTTACGTAAATTAAAGCTGTTTCTCTCCGAGCCATGTTTGTATTTAGACTCTTTCAGCGGGAGCAAAGGGAGCTCCGCCGGTGGAGATGATGATCCTAAACCAGAACACCTGCAGCCATTTGTGCTTCAGTTACAGGAAACGAGACACAGAGCTCACCTGAACACCACGGTAACAAAGAGAGTCCAAGAATAACGCAGCTGGACGGGCTACTGTGAGTTTTTATATTCTTAACTGAGTGACTGGTTTCAGGTATCAAACATTTAAAGATTGAAAGAAAAGCATTTATTCTGTAAAAGCTCCAGATATGAATTTAAAGTGACAGTGTGTATTATCTTGGGGATAGGGGGCAGTAGATCCCTAAATCATTGCAAGCAAGCAATAGTTTTGTGTTGGAGTAAGACATTACCAACGGATGGCCATTAGGGTCAAAAAGCCCTGGGGAGTGCAAACTTTAGCTAAATAACAAGAACATCAGACTCCCTTTCATCACTGGCAACAAGTGAAGAGGTAAACGTGTAAAACATTTAAGAAAGGCAAAAGTTTTATAACCTTTTGTTACAAATCAGTAAACACATTGTGTCCTCATGGGCTCCCGTAGAAAGAAACACGGTGTCTAATATGGCGTCGCCCAGAGACTTAGACCCGCTCCTATGTATTATACACCTGATTTTTATGGTCATATGTAAACCCGAATGCTCAAAATAATTAATTGGAATGAGTAGTGTAAACTTAAAAAGTTCTCAAAAGTTATCTTTACTTAAAAATATTGAGTGAAAGTAACATTTTCCTTCTTTTTAAGTGTATTAAACTTGTTATGACTGATTAATATGAACTTGGTTGCATATTATGTAAATGCTACTTAAAATATTCAACTCACAGTTACTTAAAACTCTGTGGATTAAACATGAATCTTTGTCTTTTTTTTTTTTGGAACTTTTTATTTTTGAATTAGAACAACAACATTTACATGGAGATGCATTTGAGTTTCTTCTTCCCTTCTCCAGGGCAGTGTTTCCCTGAACAAAGTTCAAATTTCCTTGTGGCCATAAGATCTATCCAACTTAACCAAATCACCAATCAGTACATATAGTTCTGACAAGCTTTCTCTGTATTCATCGTATCTGCTCTCTACTACATTCTACATTTTACTTTGATCTAGCTAAATAACTCACCCAAAAGAAAAAAAAATACATAAATAACAAATAAAAAATTTATAAAAATAATTTTTACATGAGAGTACTATCTTTCTAACATTTGCTTTTTGGTTCCCAATTTTTTTCTCATTTCCCTAGTCCCAGTCATAGTCTTGCATTAATTTGTTCCATTTTGTAGACCTGTCTAACTCTGTCTCTCCACTGTGCCACCCTTGGGGGTTCTGTGTCCAGCCATAAAACTGTAATACACTTCTTGGCAGTCATAAGCAGAATTCTGATTATGTATGTCTCCATTATGTGTGTATGATTTTTGGTATAACATTCCCAGTACAAACCATTCTAACTTAAATTGGAATTTCACCTTCAAGGTTCTTTCAATTTCTCCCTAACACCTTCCCAGAATGGTATGAATTTAGGGCAGAACAAAAGTATATGTGAGAAGTCTCCCACTAGCCTGCATTTTCTCCAACATAAATTTGAAACGTTACGTTATGACACATCTCACCTTTATGTTAATATTTTTTTATTTGATGCACTCCACTTTGAACTGCACCAATCCAGCAACTGCTGCATTTTAATAACTATTAAAGGTGAATACACCAATATTTGCACAAGAATAATTTTAGTTTTAAACTCTCAGTGACACACTTTGCACACATTTTTCTTGACGTCTGGAAAAACATCTCCTTCTGCCCCCTTTAAGTGACTTTCTGGCTCCTGTATTTTGGTCCAAGACCGGCTGGCCCTATTAAAAACCATCTACACCCCTGCTTAGTAGAGTTAATGAAGTATTTTTAAGCCAGTATAAAAATGACTGAAACACAAATGTACATATTTGGCCTTATTGACCAATATCTTTGATTTAATTTATGTGTTAAGAACATCGAGATGCATTACAGTGAACATTATAATAAAGTACATGTTTCTAGTGCAGAGTGGAGACAACCCATAGAAGCACTGGTTTGATCTCATTTCAGAGAAAAATAGAACAGGTCAGATGCACCTAATAAATCAAATTACTAACATAAACTCAGGAATCTGTTTCTTTGCTTCAATGTTCTGGTGCTGAAAATACCACTAATGTGGATCAAAGGAGATACACAGATGAATGCACCTTATTATTTATTATTTGGACATTAGTGGGTGTGGCTTACATCAATATATTGTTTTAAATCTGAAATTGATATGGACTGATCAGAAGTTGCTATGTGTATTGTTTATTTGAAAACTATTTACAGAGCAGCCTCATAAATATTTTTGACCACAACAGTAAAGGAACTATTACAGAACAAGTTTTTCAGTAAAATCAGAACATTAATATTTAAGTGCATGAATTAATACATCTGAACTCATGCAGTAGGAACTAGGAAATATGAAATACTAGAACCAGACACAACTTTTTAAAGTATTTTAATTTTAATTTGATCAAACAGATTTTTACCTAATGTTGTTGTCATTTTCCCCACACACAGTTAAAACAATGTTGATTGAGGTGTGTGTGTGTGTGTGAGAGAGAGAGAGAGAGAGAGAGAGAGAGAGAGAGAGAGAGAGAGGGAGAGAGAGAGAGGGAGAGAGAGAGAGAGAGAGAGAGAGAGAGAGAGAGAGAGAGAGAGAGAGAGAGAGAGAGAGAGAGAGAGAGAGAGAGAGAGAGAGAGAGAAAATAATTTTTAAAAAACCCGACCGGAGCGGAGGCAGAGACCGACGCAGCTCGAGCCGTTTTCAGCTCTGTCTTGTCAAATGCACCACGTACGTACGTTACGAAAAAAGTAACTTTAAATATTCAACCGAAAAAGAGGCAAGCTGAAGAAAACCGAGGGAGTTCTGAAGAAGCGTGAGCGACAGTGAAGCAATCACAGAGAGATCTGTTACTGTCTGTGTGTGTGTCTGTGTGTGTGTGTGTGTGTGTGTGTGCCGGAGCAGAGTTTTGTGTGTTGGGAGGGGCGGGCGCTCCATGTGACTGGCCAATCACAGAGCGTGAAGGCAGTCAGTTACCCAATGAGGATTTTCCTTCAGCACGATTACAGATATTTACGAGTTTTACTCGTTTCATGCTCGCATTCGTCAAAAATGCTTTATCCGTGGCTCATCCCTAGCTGTAACCACCCTGCCCTGCCTCCTCCTCCTTGCTGCCTGCCGGCTGTGATCACAAGCACCAACAGAGAAGTTCCCGCTGCTTCTTTGGGAAACAGCGCAAAAAAATTAATTACAAAAAAATCTATAAAACGGGATTTTGCAGGCGTGGCGCTGGGATTTCAGCCGTGGCGAGCCGCCACGGCTACGCCTATGTAAGGGCAGCGCTATCTCATTATTAAAGGTTAGCATTACTTTACTTCTAGAGACTCATTCCCTCCATTTTTGTCCCCTCCATCATATTTTTTTGAACGTGATAGTTCTGAGAAATAAATAAAAGCGGGAGCTCAGCAAGCAATCTGCTGAGCAAACGGTCATTTATTGTTCATTTGAGTGGGTTAGGGTTAGGGTTAGTCTGGGCTGATTCAGTCTGTCCTCCAGTAAAAAGGAAGCTTTCTGAGTTAGTTCTGATCCGCGGCTTCTATTTAAGCTCCAGTGGAAGATTTCTGTAGCCAAAGGACAAATCCTGAATGCAGAAGAGAAAAACAGAAGCATATTTATGCATGAGCATCACTTTAACCTCTGCTGTGAGCCAGTTTGTGTTTTTGTTGAGTCTGTTCTACGTCTGCAGTCGACTAACAGAGTTTCTTTTGCAGCTTTTTTATAAAGACATTTTGAATGCAGAATAACTCAAATATGATTCTGCGTTTCCCCTCCTCATCTTCAGACATCCCTGAGCCACCTCCCTCTCCAGCTGCCTTTTCCAACTCTTCCAGGGGAAATCTGAGGCTTTCCCAGGAGAGCTGTGTGATCAAATGTTCTCCATCTAGACACAAATCTTTTGACTTTTATTTCATCACAGGGATCATAAACTCCTGAGAACCTGGTTTTTATTTTCTTGTATTTGCTTTAGATGTTTTGGTGAGTTTACAGGAGGTTTCCAGCTCATAACAGACCGACGTCATCCAGAGAATTGCAGATTTGACTAAAACCTCCCAAAGGAAATAAGAGCCATTCTGACAGGAGAATCTATGGCGTTTCCACCCACATGCCAACCTGATTTATAAACAGGACTGGGTGAACTGGGAGCTAAAACGAGCTTATCTGTTTTTATTCTATGACATCAAATGTAAGCATTTAATGTTTAGGAGAAAATGTCACTAAATAAATAATAAAACTAAGACTTTTTAAAATAATAATAACAGATCTAAAATGAAGAGCTCAAGAAGCCGATGTCCTCTTTAGGGAAGGATGTTGAATAATTTGAGAACATGAAATTGAAGAAAACCACAAAAACCAAACCTGTTGTTTGAACGTTTCTGTTTCATAAACAGATTTAAATAAAGTTTAAAGATCACGAGCATGTCAGCTAAACCAGATCCTCACTGCTGGACCAGAGTTTTCCACCAGCCGTCCAAACTCGCTCAGGTGTTCAGAGCAGAATAATAAAGTCATTCATTATCAGGTTACTCCAACTTTTTATTTCCTCTCATGAAGAGGCGCCAGATTAAGATTATTAACCTAATTATTCTGCACAGTGAGGTCTGAAATGCGTCGTTTCATAATGAACCATTCATTACCGTAACAGCGCGTGCTGAGCGCGTGGGACTCACCTATGAAGAACCATAGGAGCGTCTGTCTCCGCAGAACTGAGCCGGTGTCCAACTTCATCCTGGCGCTCCCGAAATGAAGTTTGGAAAAGCAGAAGGGATCCAGAAACGAGCTGCGGACCAGAAAGTGTCTGCTGGATGGAGGAACTCCGTGGAAAAGCGGCCACGCGGACACGAACACGCGCCGAATCACCTAGATGCTCGGGGGTGATCCGAGACCGCTCCGGTTCCTGCGGCACGTCCGCTCCCCCGAGTCCTGCTGTCACCGGTCGTGTGTCGTCATCCCCTCACGGAACATGCCGAGTGGTTCTCTCCCGAGCTCAGGGGTAGATGGGTGCACGCGCGCGCGTGTGTGCTCGTGGTGGGGAAATCCGGAAGTGGGCGCGTGTAGAGCTGTGAAAACTGCCCGGTGTTTGAAAACGGTCCGTGCGTAACGGGACGCGCCAGGTGGTGAGACCACTAGGCTGGACCCAACGTGCATGTGTGTGTGTGTGTGGGGGGGGGGGGGGGTGTGGGGGGGGGGTATTGTTGATATCCTCTCACGTGCTGCAGCACAGAGACAAGGGGGGTACAATTACCTCAAACCTCACTTTATACTATAGTGTTCCTGAGTTAGGGTTCGTGGGTTAGGGACTGAGCAGGTCCTAGACAAAAACAGAGGTGTGGAGTCAAGTCACATGACTTGGACTCATGGACGTAATTTTCACTTTAGAAGTGTGTGTGTGGGGGGGGGGGGGGGGGACATGGTGAGGGGGCTTCAACACAAACGGTTGTTTTCCGCTTGGTCCTAGAGCTCAACCTGTGTCAGTTTAATATAGCGTAATGTTGTTTTTGGATGGTAAAAGTGCAGGGGTCAGACACCCCCCCCCCCCCCCCCCCCCCCCCCATTACGTCCATGCTTGGACTCGAGTCAGACTCGTGTCATTTTTTTTAATGACTTCTGACTTGACTTAATAAAACTGATAAAGACTTACGACTTGACTCGGACTTGAACGCCAATGACTTGCGACTTGAATCGACTTGCATCTGTTGACTTGATGATGACTTGAGCATATTTGATATTTTAGCACAAAAGTGGCCCGACTTGGACAAAAATCATGAATCATTCCTTGTTCTGGGTTTGATTTACTGCTGACTGCAGCAGCTCTTTGTTTATAATCAGTTGCATTTTCTGCTTTATTTCTGGGATTTATTTAATATCGTTGTCATTAAGTTGAAGTTGGACAGATGACTTGATTATGACCTGAATATTCAAAGTTAAGGACTTGGACTTCCACATCATTGACTTTGGACTCGACTTGTACTTGGTTGTCTTTGACTTGGACTTGACTCAAGACTTGACTGGAAAGACTTGTGACTCACAAAGCAGTGACTTGGTCACACCTCTGGGAAAAAAACTAAACAAATCATCAACGTCCACCGCCATGCTGACACCTGCTGGTTTCTGTTGATCTGATTTTCAGACATTCAGAAGATTGATGGTGTGTTCCACTTTTAGACAAACTGCAGCTTTAAAAACGTAAACTTGTGAACAGACGTTTAATTAAATTCTCTGAACTTGACCAATGTGCCTCTAGTGTGTTTGTGTTTGGAGGTCATTGGTGAAATTGTTGGACAAAGCTGTGGCATTGATTGCAGTTACAACCCATCCAGGAACTCTTCCATTTAGATGTAATTAAAACCTCAGCGTGTCCTTTTGATTGACAGGTAGCATCAGTGCTAGTGCTAGAGGCTCACCTGCTGCTTGCTCCAGAAAAGCTCTCAGCTCTGCCTCGTGTTAAAAGTTTACAGCCTAGAAGGCAGGTGGTAACAGAGTCACCCAGCTGCAGTTTTCTGGCTCCAAACGCCCTTCGACCTTTGTTAGCTTCGGTTAGCTTCAGTTATCTCTAAGCTATATCGGCTCCGAGTTTGACAGGTGTCAATCATCTGCCCCCATCCTCACAACCCTGCTCTCCACCCCAATTTGTATATTTTCCCTGAGTGACGAGATGCGGCCCATGGCAGGGGTGGGAACCGCCCACTGGGCTTCAGTTCGGCTCTTCAGAAACCATGTGTGACTCGTTCAGTATGTGTAGTCGATGGTTTCGCCCTTCTCTCTGTGGGACATGGCCTCCGAGCTGTTTAAACATGACCTTATAACCACATTATTCAACTCTCAGCTGCTTCTAGATAAGTAACCTAGCAGGACATCTGCTTTTACAGAAATATCCACACCACCACCACACTGCTTCTGCAACTTGCCTTCCTAAACTTGATGCAACATGTGTGTTTTGTACCATGAAAACCTTTTATTTTGAAGGAGAATGTGTTTTTTACAGCTATTGTGAGGTGTGGGTTGATGGTTAGTCAGCCAAAATATACAGTTTGTTCTAGGTCACTAGGCTAGGTTGATTCAGCCAGCAGTGCAACACTGCCCTCTAGTGTTTATATGCAGCATTGCATGTACAGACACGGATGTTTTTCACATGGGATTGTTTTCTACACGCTAAACTTTAGAATTGATTATTTTATTTTAATCCTTTTGTGTCGCGTTCTCCTGGTGTGGCATGATTCTGCACAGCTAACGTATTTGGTCCAGTTTCATTCCACAAACGCTGGAACATCAACACGACAGAACCAGACTTCAGTGAGAATAAATTATGAACGCACTGATCTTGATTTGTTCTTTCATAGACTCTGGCCCAGTTTTTAAAACCACAGTTTCAGGTTTTATCACCTAGTGATTGTGCGTTTCATGAAGCTGTCTCACCTTGACAGCAGTTTGCTTTGAGTCTAAACGCTGACTCGCCCACGAGGCCTTTCCGATTGTTGTGTGTCAGACGTCCGAGTGGTGGTGTCGTGTCACGACTAGAAAACTACAAAAGAAGCTCACGCGTAAACCAATCTGTGGCTGAACTGGTTCAAACCCAGGCTGTGTCTCTAATGACCCGCAGAGTGAGGGATGTTCCCGTGCATGCGTGTGTGTGTGTGTGTGTGTGTGTGTGCGTGTGTGTGTGTGTGTGGTATAAGACCTTTATTAGGCAGAACATGAGTGAGATTTTGAGTATTGTGCCAGGTTTTTTGACCTGAACAAAGTTTCCGTGGAAATCAAAACCTTGACTGAACTTCTTCTTTGAGGGCAGAATTTGTGTTTTCAAACAGTTTGAAGCCCAAAGTCAAACGTGATTCATGACCCCAGCAGCAGCTCCTGCATGCTTCGTCGTGCACATCTACCTCCTCACTTCTTACCAGTGGTGAAAGGGAGTCTGATGTGTTTGCTGGAGGTTGCATGCTCAGGACGTTTTGACCCTAATGGCCATCCATTTGTTTTACTCAGACACAAAAATACTGGTTGTTGGCAATGATTTAGTTGTGTGCTGCCCCCTGTTGGCAGTGAAAATACTCATCATCGCTTTAACACGGATTTAACTCTGTTTCTGCAGCTTCACATTTGTCACCGTCTTTATTAGGTGACAAGTACAGGAATGATGGATGGAGATTAAAATTGTTGGATTATTCTATCTTTAACTTGGTAATATGGAGACACACTTCTCCTGTGTGACCACCAGAGGGACACAACAGGCTCCAGGCTGGAAAGGAAGGTCTGAGACTGCACTTGGTTGCAACAACGATAAGAAAGCATTGTATTTGTGTGACACAGACCATAAAAGGTGATGCACAGGCCGGCTCTTCAGCTGAAACCAGGAATTCAACCAGCACCAACATTTTGTCACAGTGATGCGTCTGTGTGGAGCTGGAAACGTCCAGAAAGCAAGCAGGACCGTAAGAAAAAGACTTTAATATCCAGAGAAGTTTCTGCTGAGAGTGTTTGACTCTGAGCCAGAGGTCTCTGCTCTAATCCTCTCCAAAGGCCAGAGACACCGTTACTGCAGTGTGTGTTAGTTCCTTAAACTCCATGACCTCACTGACCTCCCTGGGTAGAAAGAGGCCAGTAGATGAGTACGGCGGCCTGCGAGTTCTGGCTCCTGGTCGTTCAATTCGATGTGGCAGGACTGATGAAACCCAGGAGGTGGGATGCAGTCTGCTGCAAAGATGAGGATCCCGACCTCCCTCTCTGTTGAAACAAAGACATTTCACAAAAAACACAAATGAACCACTTTACAATATTACGCTTTAAACAGATCAAAAAGGTGCGTCGTGTTTAGATGACCTACTAATCTAATCAAATCAAATCAACTTTATTTATACAGCACTTTTCATACAAAAACACACAACTCAAAGTGCTTCACAGATTAAAATGGCCCCATAGGTCCCATATTCCCATCCCAGTTCCCCTCCCACAACCAATTTCCAAGGTGAACGTACACTCACTCACCCACACACTCACACACACACACACACACACACACACACACACACACACACACACACACACACACACACACACACACACACACCCACACACTCACACACACACACACACACACACACACACACACTCACACACACACACACACACACACACACACACCCACACACTCACACACACACACACACACTCACACACTCACACACACACACACACACACACTCACACACACACACACACACACACACACACACACACACTCACACACACACTCACTCACCCACACACTCACACACACACACACACACACACACACACGTGCGCACACACACACACACACACACACACACACACACACACGTGAACAACAGAGTGAACAATAGGCTGGGTTCAGATGGGTCAGGTAATGGACGACACATCATTAGCGGAGCCGTCTGCCTCGACAGCAACAGATCCACGGCAGCAGCCAAGACACCGGCCCATGAAGCCCAGGGAGGGAGGGCAGAGACCCCCACCACTGCTCGGGCACTACCCGAGGAGCGCCCCGGCCGCCGCCGCCGACCACCGGCCCCAAGGCAGAGGGCTCCGCAGAGGAAACACTGGAGGATTAAAATATATAACATGTAAAATAACAAAAGCTAATATGGATAGAAAGTAACTGATAAAAAGTGATTATAAAGATAGTAAAAGAAAACATAATCATATAAAAACACTAAGATGTAAATAAAATAATAACATTAAGTAAAAGAGATAAATAGGTATATGTAAATAAACAAATATGACAGGTGATACAGTTAAACAGACTAGATAAATAGTAATCAGTTAAAAGCTAAGCTGAAAAGGTGGGTCTTGAGCCTTTTCTTAAAAGCCTGGACGTTCCCTTCGGCCCTGAGGTCCTCCGGCAGCCCGTTCCAATGGCGAGGGCCGTAGTACTTGGGGGACGCCTCGCCGTGGGTGTGAGTCTTAACTTTAGGGATAACCAGGAGACGGCTGCCAGAGGAGCGCAGAGACCGCGAGGGTTTATACAGTAAAAGCAGTTCTGAAAGATAAGAAGGCCCGAGACCATTAAGACACTTAAAAACCATTAAAAGAACCTTAAAATCAATCCTGAAACATACGGGGAGCCAGTGCAGTGATTCTAAAAC